CTCAACTGTTTTGTCCGGAATTGTAGTTTCCTTGATGTCAAACTATTTGTAAAGAATAAGAAAGTAAAGTTATTTATTTTCTTAAAACAAGTCTTACCCCATGTCATCTCCCAAAATCCCTCCCTGATGTTTCTTGAATAGTTTCCAGAACCACAATAATGCTTGAAGCTGATAWGGRTACARAGCTTCTTTGATTTCTCTGGCAATACGGTAACCATTGCCAACATCAACTAATCCATCATCACTTTCCTCTTCTTCCTCTTCATTTCCCTCCTCAGGTTCCTCAGTATATTCTTTTATAAATTCCTGAAATAGAAATTTAAAATATTACTTGATCCCAAATGTCAGTCAGTCAATCCATGGTTTCTTTCTCTCTCTCAACAAAAACTAAGAAATGTCCAGTGTTATTGTTGTGAGATAAAGTTAGTTAATGCAGTGATGGACAATGATAGAGGATTGGCCACTGGAAGATCATTTGAAAGCATTCAATGTATCCTTAATCAGTACAATTCATAAGCCATACGTGATCGATAATACCAAACGTGCTGCTTASGGTTTGGCGGGCTTATCATTTCSACAAGGTGTCGTATTTCAYWTACCAGTTATTGATAAATGTTACTTTTGAATAATACTTATAGATAATATTTTGTAAAACATTTAGTTAGCGAAACTGATCAAATATTTAAGCTTATCTCATAGACCAAAAGCTGGTCTATCATTATCAACAGTACGWTCCTGAACGCCATGTGAGAAAAGTGAAGAGAGCCATGACGAGTTACATGAGGATTTTCTTCCTCTCTATTGAAAGGATTTATATCTACTTATTTACTAGTATTCGTCGACTGAACAACATTGCTAGTTCACAGACAAGTTTGAGTGAGATCAACCTCTGAAACATAAATCTCTGATACATTACCTTCAGCTTAGCAATCCGCTTTTCAAGTTTGTCGCTTTTGTGAATTTTGTATGCGCTCTTAAAGAGATCAAGAGCTTCTTCAAGTTGKCCTTGTCTGGCCCTTTCCTTAGCATCGAGCACAAGTTTATTGTATCTCGCTTTGCGATTCTGTTCAGAAGCTATAGAAATAACGAATATTAAACTTAAAACTTATACTTCATAAGCTGGTAAAAATGACATCCCTTATTACAAGCTCACGCATTTCAAATCACTTTCTTAACTCAAAAAGTTTCCCCAACATCACAATATTAGCCTCGCTTTAACCCAAAATACATATCTAGCATCAATGATGAATATCACTTGTRTTATTCAATACTTACCCTCCCGATCTTCAATGGAAAGTTTCGAAAATTCTTCCTCCATTTTGGACGGGAACCTCTCCCGGGTTCTTCGAAAATCAAAAATGGCGCTAGAATCTATTTTGCACGTGACAAACCATGTGACTGTTCTCAAATTTGATTGTTGGGGGAGGGGTAAGTATTAAAAAAAAAATATTAAGAAAATCATTTCATTGCTACTTGTAAACTAAGGAGAGTTTAGTCGAAAATCCACAAGCAATCCAATTTTTTAATGTCCTCTTTTCGGTTCGGATTTTAAAAAGAGAGTTGTCTATACTCATTAAAACCCTGTCCCTCCCCTGAAAGTACTTCGGTCTGTTGATCGCAGGCTCATTGTTTTGAGGCAAACGTCCGAAGCCCGAGAGGTCAAGAAGTTTGTATTGAATAAATATATAGTTATAGACGTTTGCATAGAAAACAGACATTAAAGATCTCCGGAGCTGCCTGCTGGTAAGTAAAAGAAACAAATGGAGCGTGTAATATGATAACTTGTGAGAATSTKATTACCTTCGCGACAAAACTTTGTAAACAAAAATCAAAACATGTGTCTCAATTAYGAAGGCCAGAAATTTCCCGGTGAATTATAAGTGGGAATCTGTCATGACTGAAATTAATGTGTTTGACTTTAACGCAAGAAATCTCAAGRGGATTTTCAAGCAATTTGTACTTCGATTTTCTTAATGTATAAGCTTCACAGATTCACCGTGTTTCATGGTCGCGAAGTTTATGCTGTGCCATCTATTTTGAAATCATCCTTTTTTTAAGAAATTCATTGAACCAAAAAACTAGTTTTATTCATGTTTCTACTAAAAGCTTTAAATTTTCCATCGAAGAGTTAACAGTAGAGATTCGATTCAAWTTTTTTTGTCTCATGCAGGATTACGTGGGTTCAATTCATCACTGAAACAGCTGTTTGTCGAAATCGAGCTGTGCGCATTTTAAACGAGATTTCATCTTGTAATTTTTCTYTCYCTTCCTTAAAACTTCATTTCCGAGTATCTTTATGAGCCACGTGTTACAGATATTACTTCTTCCTGTTTTGAAGTGTAAATTTTAATTCAGTAATCCAGTCGCTTGTGCTAATTTTTGGTTTGATAAGATATTGTACTAAATTATCTATGCATATACCTTGGCTTAGGCTTTGGGGTGTAATTGCACAACTCCGAAACCTATTTACTAGTTAATGAATTATATACGGCTACCACAAGAGATGCGAAAGCGGATGAGTACGATTTTTTTGTACATTTTTGCTCAAAATACCTTAATACATGACTTTTCTCATAGAGAAATTAGTAAGAATTTCCTATTCTTCCAACCAGTATMATTTCACAATTTTTATTATATTTTTTTTTTCAATTTTCAATGACAATTATTTGCTATTTTTTACAAGGAAAATCTCAAATGATATGAGTGGGCAGKTTGGAGACTTGAGTTCTAGCCAGCAACTTGCCTTGGATCAGGTAAATATGTACACAAAATATTACARTAAAAAAGCTAAATCAGTGTATAACATTTATTTTTGAAAATTATCCTAAATACAATCTGTTTGGTCCTCACAAAATGGTAATGAATGCATTTATAAATATTAGAAAAGGATGATCTTACTTGTAATCCCAAGAATACTTATTACTTTATACAATCAGATAGAAGGAATATAAGCTCAGTATTTGGAGTGCTACTATTTACATACTACCGTCTGTTGATCTAAGATCATTATCAAAGTGTACATTATATATTATTTCATTGTTTTCATTTTGACTTTTGGACTTTTGGACAGAATGTAACTCAATGATTGATTGATAAATAGATTGAGTTTACATTCAATAATATAGCAAAACACCAAAGTGTTTTAGGGAAATTTATACCGGTTATATTCAAGATTTAAAATAGACCTTTCTCACCTCAGACAATGTCCATGGTTTTATGTGGAGTGTTGTAGGACAACAAGTTGGATTTCTTCCTCATGTGCTCTGGGGATTTCTGTCTAGGCTCACTCATTTATAATGCTCCTCCAATACAATTCATTCAGGGGAGGATCGAGATACTGAATATATTTTGGAAATAATAGTCTTATTTAATTTCAAAATGTGACAATTAAAGCATTACTAGCAGATACAACAACAACTGTAATTGAACACACTTTCTTTCTTCTTTTCATTCTTTTTTTTTTTTAATGTTAATCAATAATTGTGAATCCTATCCATAGAGTGCMAACACTAAACACTGATACTGCATTTACCAAACACTGCTACTAAATAGAGCGGATTTCGTATGAGTGGGAAAGGGACGGTACTGTACTGTGACCGTAATCGTACTGTAACCAAATTCTAGTGCCCCATTGGTTCTCACTCATGTGAAATCCACTCTAGTGGAATATTACAGATTCTGAAAGACAAAATATAAAAAGCAATAAGATCATCCAGTATAATTTTGCACTTATTTTTGCATTATTTTGTATTTCATAGTTTTAGTGTTTGGTCATTATAAAAAAATGTTACAGTCAAAAGACATACATTGCAATATGCTCTCTGTTAATTTGGTTGGATCTGTTCCTTCTCGTGAGAAACGAAGGAATGACGGTCTCAAAAAGCTAGAAATGCTGTTGTTTTCTGTCATTATCAGAGTTCAACATTTGAATAATTTAATTTTGCATTAATCAACTTAAGTTTGTAAATAAAATAAAAAATAAAATGAAAAATCCAAGAATGCATTGAATAACGAACTATTWGCGGGCTCGATTCATGTCTTTTGGCTGTAATTAATGAAGTTATGAATTTAAAGTTTTATTTCATTATATTTTGCAGTTTAAAGAGAATATTTCTGACCTTCTTCAACCTCACCATGATGATTACTTCTTAYTRCGATGGCTGAGAGGTTTGCATGGATTCCTTACTTTMCCTCTTATCAGGGATGGAGCTGTAAGCTCCACCAATAATTTTTTTCTGCCATTTTTTTATTTGCTCAACTGATCCTAGAAAATTTGAAAAAGTAAGCTCTGCTATCCTGCTTGTGAGATGTTTTTTGACCATGACACTATATTGGCAGAGTCAAGTTATATATTTTCCTATATTCACTGCATACTAAGATATATTTTAACATCACCTCAAAAATGCTGGAAATCACATTTTCTTGGATTCAAAATCCAAATAATTAAACTATCCCCCATTCACACACCCAAAAGTATGTAATAAAATTTGTCTTTTAAGCAAACTATTAAGTACTAAATGTTTATAATTGTTTTTTGACAGCTAGAAATTTTAACCTGGAAAAAACAGAATTTATGATAAGGGAGGTAAGTAAAAGAAGACTCTTAAGTTTTTAGAAGATATCAAATGTCTGCTCTGAATATAATACTGGTAGCACGTGTTTATTTTGCCTTTTATCCATACTTTGTAGAGTTTTAAAGTTAGAGAAAGTCTTGAGTTGGATACAATAGTAGACACATACAATATACCAGAGGTAGGAAAACTCTTTTGGTCCTGAGAGATCTGTATTTTGGATGATGTGGGAGAAGGACTCAATACACTGWCCRCCAAATAACAATACCAACACCGTTGACATATGTGACATACCAGTGTCACATCAGCTATGCTGTTGTCTGACATTCATTATCAACTTAATTATGAAACTGAACAATATCCTTTACAGCAGACAGTTGCTATTGAGGCTGACAGTCACAAAAGTGAACATATCATCAAAAACATACCAATTTAAAGAATGGGATATTACTTTGTAAGATTGTTGTACTAATTAGGTGCAGACCATTTATGCTACGTCACTGTTTCTAATTATTACTGTTGTAATCGACTGGATTCCACATGGCAATAACTACGAGCAAATATGAGTATCATGCCATATTATTATTCGAAAAATAACTTTGTAACATTATGAAATGACCGTGTCCCAGGTTTTDCAGAAATACTATCCAGGAGGATTTTTTGGATATGACAGAGAAGGAGTTCCTGTTTTTATTGATCCTGTTGGACAAATTGACTTTAAAGGTTTGCACTTGTTTCACAAAATAATAATCAATCTAACAATCAATCTATATTTGAGTATTAATCAATTATTAAAGTTTCCTGGCCTTTGTTGAATTAAATTGATCAAAATTATGCAAACATTTTGTGTGTAGGTCTACTAGCATCTGTAAGAAAGGAAGAGGTTATCAAGTTTAAAGCTTACACTGGAGAATATGGTTTATATCTTGCACATGAACAAACTAAAAAGGTAAAGTGGACACATTTTTGTTTTACAAGCTTGTCCTCATACATGCATTAGCTCTCTGGATTTAGTTTTTATTGTATCTTTTAATCGTTTTAGACTGGAAGAAGAATTGAACAGTTGGTAATTGTGATGGATGTAGAAGGACTTGGAATGAAACACCTTTGGAAACCTGGTAATTACAATATTGTTTAGTACTTGGATTGTTCCAAAAGTGTGCTTTATGTAGTGCTCCACTTTTTACTTTTTTCTTGTTTTCGTTTGTTTTCTCAGCTCCYTTACTTTTTGGAAGATTTGCACACATGTTGTGGCAGTTGTCGCTGATACATTTTTGTTTATTTATCTGACATTKCTTCATAATATACTACATTATGTAATAGTTCAACTGTAAACATTATTTTATTCTTTTTGTATAGGTGTTATGACATTTAACGATGTAAGTGATTTTTTTCATATTTATTGTACATTAACATTTCTTTTACAATTTGTAGATAAGGGTTTTGTGTACMCCTTCGAAATCCGGGGCTCTCTACAGTTTTGATTTGTCACTTTTTYAGGTTGCAACCTTTTATGAAGATAACTTTCCAGAGGTTATGAAGAGYATATTTGTTATAAAAGGTGAGAAGCATACCATCTATGACTCTTATTCTTGATAAAATTTTGAATATGATAATATTGCGAAATAAAATCTGTTTCTAAAGGATCCACCAAAGACCACAGAGATAAATGCGATATATAAATCCTCGACCTGTCGCGCAACGTTGTTGCTTTTCAAGTTTAGCGTCATTGTTTCTMATTCTTCATGACCTTTCAAGGTGAAAAACGGGAAATATCGCCTACAAACTTGTACAGCAACAATATCGACARGTATAGTGGCAGATGAGCATGTGGCGCGACAAAGGAACTCGCATTTATGATCCTATTTTAAGCTTAGAATAAATTTTGATAACCGCTCACTCATGAGTGATTCGCTTTATCTCAACAAAGATTATTAAAGGCATAATTCTTTTAGCTCCCAAGCTGTTTCCTGTAGCATATGCATTGGTGAAACCATTCCTCAGCGAGGAAACAAAAAATAAAGTGCGAATTCTAGGAGGTATGTACAAAAAAGAATACTTACAGATAATGCAGTGACTTCTAGCTCTTTTTGGAATTCTTTTTGTGAACACCTAATTTGCTTCCCACATTTTTGACCAATAAAATTTCGAATACCATTACCCCTTTTGTTGCTGAAAGCCAATCAAAGTCCKAACTAAGCTTTGAGTGACAGATACAAATTTACTGAGCTGTTTGATTTTAATAATAAATGKTACGGTGTTTTTTCTTGTCTGCGGTTGTTAAAATTGCTTGCGTCTGTTATTTATATACGGTTTTGTCTGTTATTTATAGACGACTGGAAGCGAGAATTACAGGAATACATCTCAGCCGATAATCTTCCTGTCYATTATGGCGGAACCTGTACAGATGCCGACGGCAACCCACGCTGTCTATCAAGAGTAAGCAGCTTTGGGKGGAGAGAGAGTGTGTAAATTGGTAACTTTCCCRCGGAACCACAGACACCAGAAGTGTTGTGATTGCTGCCAGTTATTCGGAGGCAAAGTTKTCCAACCGTCAGCGTGYCTACTTGTTCAAAGAGCTCGTCAGTATTATATATTTTCAAGATGATTTTCTAGCCAACTTTGTATTATTTTCTTCTACTTTCTCGTCCCGAATTGAACTCTTTGTTTACCTGTTATGAAAACCTAAGGTTGCGGATTTGAATGTTTGAGCATGTTGGAAAAAGTTGAAATTTAAAAACAAACATTGAAGTTTTACAAACAACGTCGACCATCTTAATAATTTAGCCATGGTTTCGCACGAAAATTCTTTGTAAAAGCTAGAGCTTTGTTCTTTTGAAAGCACAGAATGAACCCMCTATTCCGCGATAACAAATATACGAAGACTGACCGACCCTGCTTTCAACTTGGTCTTTATATATTGTTCAAATACACTTGTAATTTAGTTCATTACTGATTTGAACTTTAGTTAGTACAGCTATCATTTTTTCTATTGTTAATCATGAGTTCACTTTTATTATTCCAAGATTTGCTATGGTGGGGAAGTACCCGAAMACTACTTCATGTCACAAGTTGGGTCAAAAATGTCTCAATGTTATCAGAATGGAATTGTTAAACGGGGCGGCACATTTAAACTACAGTATGATGTGGAAATTCCTGGAAGCGTAATAAGGTACAGTAYTTACTGTTGACAGAACGAGACAGTTAAAAAGACAAGCCTGGTTTTCACTAGTAGTGGAGTATGCAGAATGAAAATGAAGAAGGCGGACGKGAAAGCGTCGACGGAAGCAAAATAACGAATGAAATCAATTCCGTTTTGCTTCCTTTGAAAGTTCACTGGTTGAATAAGCAAAGGGCTTTCTTCTCTTTATTGCAGCTGGGAGTTCAAATCAGAGGATCATGACATTGGTTTCGGAGTTTACTTTTCTGGGAAAACAGAAGAAAAGTACAGACGGAGAGAAATGACTGAACTGGTAAAGATTTAGCAAAATGTTTATGCAACTAATTACAACAAATTCCTTCGTCAATATTATAATGACAAGTGTGGTTGTTTTGTTTTTGTTTGTTTGTTGTTTTTGTTTGCAGTTTTTTTAGTTAAAGTGCATCAAATACATACCAAGACCGCAGTGCATTGTAGCTATTATACTCCGCGTTAGCGAGCGTTAGCTGCTTTACAAAATGAAGATTCGTAACTTTTAGTTAAATGCATTCCACTTAAGTCCACGACTGTATGAAGCTGGTATTATGAGTCTGACATCACAAACTGAAATTTCCTTTCAGTGTCTTGGAATACACCATCGTCAGTATTCAACGTTTTCTGAAATAGTTTTAAATGAGAAATGTTATAATGATAAAGATGAGTTTTTTCTCATTATTTCATTTATTTATTTCCAGGTCCCAACTCGACGTCTTGACTGTCATCTCTTTCCTGAGCAAGGTTCATTCACGTGTGAAAAACGAGGAACTTGTGAGTATTACATCAAGTGAACACAATACTCGTGCCACGGCATATTGCGGGATTCGTTGTAAAAAGTAGTAAAAAGATTTTTTGCATTACGGTGTTGTTTTACCTGCGATTGGAATGACTTTTATATCTGTTTCTGTCACATGATAGTAACTACAAGTATCTTAGTAGAAAGCCCGGGGAAGGGGGGAACTCCGGGGTAAAAGTACCGGGGATGCTTGTCGGATATTACGGTTATTTCATCGCTTTTGATGTTTCCACAGATATACTTCGATTTGACAACACTTATAGTTGGACACGRAACAAAAAGATTATGTTTTATTCTGAACTAATGGAACCCGAATCGCAAGATCTCTCGACGAATGATGAAAATGGTRCAACACAACCTCCGTCAGAACCTGACCTACTTCCAATTGATTAATTTATATTCTAAAAAGGGTTTTTAGCGCGCGCTCGGATTCGCTTGGCGCTCAAAAAGACTTTATAGTTAGTAAATGTTGCGAGTCTTTGTACTGAAAGAAATTTTATAGCTTTTGATGTTKAAATTTCACATTTCTTATTCACAGCTAGCTGACTGGCAATCAATTTCAATRTTTATATAGGTAACAGTGCTATTAAAAGTGCAAGCACTAGAACAATGAAAAACCTTTGTAATCAAATAGTGCTAAATTGTACCGAATTATTCGCTTTTTGACACTATTTAATTTGGTGAGCGTTTTTTCGCCTTTTTAGTATTTGCATTCAAGTACTCATGTTATGACGTATTTTAACTGTTTTAAAAGGTAAGAAATCGTTTCAAATGTCTACAAATTCATACAATTTTGACAAGGCGAATTTTGCATGAAAATCAAATGCCTGACTTGAAAGATAAAACTTATTTAACAATGTGAGAACGAGAAAGATTCAGTTTTCATAAGGTACATTATTGTCCGTATATTCTTCACCTAAACATTCATAAAATATTTCTTCTACTCGGGGTTATTTCAGAAGAAAAAGGCACTTTTCAGAAAAAAACACTATCTCTATACAGCCATTTTATAGAAAAATGAGCTGTGAGACCGTGTAAAAAGAAAACCTTTATTTTTTTTCTTTATTTGATACAATAATTTATGTTTTTTCTTAATTTATTTATTAATAATTTATCAGTAAAATAATATATTATAAATAGATTTAGCATTAATTTATTGAGCATTTTTCAATTGTAAATAATACGAAATCACAATAAACATTTCATTTAAATCAGCTTTGGTTGCTTGTCATTTTTTCGGCGGTAATAAAGTTTCAGGGACGTACGGACTCAATTTTCTGGGTTTTGTGGTGGCTTCTTGAATACAGTACTTCTCAAAACGGCCTGAAACTTAAGTTTCTCATCATAGCGCTTATGAGACACTGACCTACATGGCACTTAATAGAGTGGTTTTCCGTCAACCATGAAAACACTATAAGTCTAATAGTTAAGTAGAAGTTTGTAATAGACCAATACTAATAGTCTAGGTTGTATCTGATTGATATAGGTATAAACATATTCATCACAAAAACAAGGTTTTTTTATTGTAAATTTGAAATAATGGTCATTTTTGTTATGGTAACTAATTAAACTAAACGTTTCATTTATTCAAACTAGTCTGTTGTTTGTTAGCTGTTCGTTTGTTAAAAGTTATATTGACTAGTCTATTACTTATTGCTACTAACTAGTTGGTCTATTTCTTTTCGTGGTTGACGGAAAATGACCACCTACAGTGTTCACGGTACCGTATTCACGTTCTTGGGATTCCTTTGTTTCTTCCAAGCCGTGGAAGACTAGGGCCCACATTGTTTTGAGCATATTGTGATCATTATCATTCGTTAAAACAACGAGAAAAAGTTATCTTTATTGCTGGATTRTCGCTTCAAGTCCTTTGTATTTTATGTCATTATGTAGCGGATGCARTGAGTTGCTCAATTTATTCGAGGATAATGGATTGACGGTGGCTTTTTTTGTGGATGAGTTATCCGTTGTTACGAGAGGCAGAAAATCGTTTACCCTCACAACTCGAGACCAACTGAAAGAAATCCAAAAAGAGTTCTTATGAAAGGCACTCCGAAATACAATTAACATACGCATACTCTTCGAAGTATTGCTGGGACAGTGTTAAACGGCTTTGGTGTCAAGAAAAAAGAGTTTGAGAGCAGTTTGAATAGTTTTACGTTACTGCGTGAACAACATTAAACAAAATTTAAAGATGGCGCCAACTTTGCCTGTAAGTTTAAACTGTCTCGCTTGCATCTATTTATCCTTTCTTGACAATTTATATTGTATAACCAACTTCTGGAATATCAATTCAAATAGTCTGATCACATTTATGACATTTTGGTAGATGATTAAGATGATTATCTAAGCTATTCCTTATTTAGCTTTGATCTTCTAACTTATTTATTTTTTTATTTCCAGCCAACTGAAGCTCARGTGTCAACWGTTGATGAACCAGCATTGTCTACAGGAGCAATAGTAATGATTGCTGTTGGTGTATATGTTTTTCTTGTTATCATTGCCCTTATTATAAGGGAATGTTTAAAGGTAATGCWCATTTGCTGTAACAACAAGCATAWRCTGATGCAAAGAATCTTGTTCACATTTTGGTCTTYTCCCAGTGACAAAATGTTCATATGGAATTGTATTAACCCCAATGTTCCTATTTCCAAAGGCACARGGAATTAGTATTTGTCCTGCATGGGTAACAGAGCAGTGCTGTGGAGGCTGCTGTGCTGGACCTGATGATGGGCCATCATGCTGTTCTGCTTGTCTTGTCTCTTTTGCTGAAATGTGTGATTGCTCAACGCCTACTAAGAAATCATGCATGGATTCATTTTGCCCTTCTAAAGAGGTGAGTGATAGTTTGCCGTTCCTCTCCCTCGCCATGTCTTTTCTTCCTTTTTTTTCTCTCTCAATCCTTCCCTTTTTCTCTCTTTTTTGTTCCTTTTTTTTATCGTAAAAACTTTCTTCCTTGTCAGAACTCCCCTTGTTACTTATCTCCATCTATTTCCCCACTTCTGTTTTATTTCTTCTTTCCTCTAACCTTTTGTTGCTTTTTACTCTCCCTCATCCCTCCATTTTTCTCTTTCTCTCCTAGTACCTACTTCCTCTACCCCTTCCCATTTTAATACTTTCATCCTTTTCACCCCTTCCTGTTTTAATACTTTCCATCTTTTTTTTCTCCTTCCATTCCTTTTATTCATCTGTTCTGTCATTCAAAATTCCCACATCCAGATCCTCTACATTTTTACTAATAATTAATAATAATAATATGATAATAATAATATATTTAACRAGGAAGCCTTATCACCAAAGGTGATTTTCATAAGGGTCCTCAAAAATAATTCAGATGGACACATAAGTTATGACGTCAAATGATGGTGAATGACGGTGAATAGTGGATAATGACGCTAAATGATGGTGAATGATGCCTWCTGACTGATTAAGTGTCTGAATATATCAAGTGGGGTGCTYACTTTGGTGTATTTGGACATGAAGTTACAACCTCTTGTGGCACCAATCAATAGACCACTGACAGATAGACTGTGGGCTCGACATTGACCAATCATCTAATATTCAATTTTTTTTATTTTTGYYTGCTTKTTTGSTTTGTTTTCAGTGGTGTGACCAGACATTTTGTTGTTGCATGAATGCTGAACCAGGAGGAGAAMTTTGCCAGGACTGTCAGGGTCCTGAATGCACAGTAAGTATAATTCTATTTAGTATTATTGAGACAACATCAGAAATTGCTGCCAGGAGTCTATGTATTCCCATGATTCATGGRTTGCCCTACCTCCTATTTTTCAAGGTATTGCGGCAGTCCATGATAATTGCATAGCTCTGTTTGAGTCTAATTTTACTTTCATTTTTAATGAACTTGTGAGTCTTCTGCCAGACTCTGATAAGCAATCGGAACTCTTGGCTGTGCRCAATGATTCAAAMGCTATTGCTAAACAAAATGGCACAACCACTCAAAGTAATAGAGTCAATCAACCACMTGTGCAACCTGCGTGGGGTACTAAACCACACCTTGCAAGTTAGAGTTTTCTRTATATTTTTTTGCATTTTAATGATTTAAAAGATAGACTAGAAATTCAAAGATYACACTACCTTTGTATGAGCATGCACTGAAAAAGTGTGCGTCACCTGTGGTAGTATGTTATTATTAGTGTTACTATTGTGTTATATGCCATTGGCCATATGTGCCACAACACATACACACATGCAAAGCAAACACGGAAAGCACATGCTTGTGATTTTCTTGGTCTATTTTCGATTATTTGTATAGGTAATACATGCATCAGGAGTTTTTGAGAACAATGCGTCCGCCATCTTGAAAAGTGGGACTCGAATTACTAAATTATAACTCCTAAAGGAATTAAAAGGTTCTAAGCTAATGTCAAGTTAGTATAATATTACAATATAATGATAGATTAGTTGACGGAGCAACTACGAAATTTTTTCTAAAGCAAAACAGTGATTTGGGGCTCACTTTTCAAGATGGCGGACGCATTGTTCTCTGAAACTCCGAGGTGGGTTTGTAGTACGTATTCCATATATGGCACAAACTAACAAGCGAATAGAAGCACCTAACAAGCGAATGGAAGCACCTAACAAGCGAATAGAAGCACCTAACAAGTGAATGGAAGCACCTAACAAGAGAATAGAAGCACCTAACAAGCAAACAGGGGTCCATACTTTTTTTCACTTGTATATTTTTCTACAGTTTTTTATCGACTTATTCGAGCTTTTTAGCTACGCCTTAACTTATTAAAAATTTTCTTATCAAATTTTAACTTAGAATTATGAATTTAACATTTTATAGCCTGACCCGTCCTTTTCCCTAAACCTAACCCTTCGACTACAAATGTAAAGCGCCTTAACTAACTTGACCACGAGAGATTACGCTGGCAAACAACGAATTGTTTGTGACATTTAAAGTATTTTGCATTGCTAATAGCACCGGTAAATTGGGATTCCTTAGGGGCCGCTATTCGCTTGTTAGGTGCTTCTATTCGCTTGTTAGGGGCCTCTATACGCTTGTTAGTTAATACCATATATGGAATACGTACGACAACCCTACCTCGAAACTCCTGATGCATGTATACACCTAATTGAAGAAACGTTGTCGGGTCCAAAAAGGTCTAATCATAGAAGCTAAGACCGAAAAGGTACTTGGGAAGACAAACAATTTGGCTAATTTCATACAAACAGCTSTCCARBATAWAAGACTAGCATGCTGTTAATCTTACTAGCTCTAGTTGCTGTACCGTGCACCATGTGAAACACCRTATATGCAAATGTAATCCCAATTTAGTGGTACTCAAAATCCCTTTCGGTCTTAGCTTCTATGATGTGACCTTTTCAAACACGACTACGTTTTTTCAATTAGGTGTATAAAGTATGTTTTGTAAGTAATTCAATCTCAAAAACCACAGGAAGCCCACATCTTACATGCTCAATTTTCAATTTTCTGCAAACCTCTATGCTTTTATTTTTCTGAAATATAATATGCATTTTTTTATTTTCAGTGTGGAGGCTGTAATTGTGCTTGTCAATGTGAAATGCCAGAAAGTCTAAATTGTATCTGTTTTACCATCCAACTGAAGTGATGCAAAAATGAACAAACAGAGAGACACAAAGGTGCAAGTTTCGAGCATCTTAATTTTATTGTTAAGAGATTGTAAATATGTATTAATTTATTAAGACAGAAAATGTAATTTTAACTTGCTGCCAGGTTAGTGTAGCATTTTATACATAAAATATTTTACCGTTATATTACCGTTTTGCATCCCTCATTTATTTCTAGCGAAGAGTGTTTGGTTGAATTTCCGTTTCAATCAAGGTAGCACGAAAACATGCCGTTTATTTCCTTTTAAATTCGTTGTCTTGAAAACTCGTTCATCAACTTAAGATTCTATTTTTTTTTTCTTCTTTTAACTGTGGAAAGACCAAAAAAAATATACAATGATTTATAATTAACGTGAATTCACTTTTACATTTATTTTCCTTTTTTTTTTTTTTCATTTCGACCTTTAGTTCGCTTCCAAGAATCTCTCTATRTACGTTGTGAGTGTCTTCTCAAGATATTATTTTCTCATATTTCGCGGTAAACATACCATTTTGACAGGTATATAATTGTTTGGACCACGCGAAAAATAAGTAGAGTTAATCCATGGACTCCTACATTCACTATCACTCTATAATGAACTCTGATAATTACATCCTTTTTACAATGTCGCTATTAAAGGGTGATTGGGTATCAGTCAGTTCGATTCGGTCCAAAGAACCATTAGACATTTACACCAAACTATTCGTGTGTTCGTGTTTTGAATGTAAAGTAACTTCATAATTGCCAGACCACAAATGCCACCTCTTTTGCAGGTATTCAAAAGCGACGCTTTACTTGTTTAACGCGCAGAACTTTCCACTAATCTTCAAAACACTTGTTTATGGTGGAAAAACTATGCTCGCAGTCTGTTTGTATTTAGCGCTTCGGTGATATTTCACAAYAGAAAGTTCCAGAAGATAATGTAAGTTGTTTGGATACGGTTTTTTGATTCAGTCGACTTTGATTTATAATCATGGCTGAAGCGAATGGCTCAAGCAAACATGTACGACCTCTCATTCAAGATTGCTGGAAAGCTATGCGAAAAGGGTGCGAGATGACAAAAATCTGGGTGAATAGCCAAAGCAAACTACCAGTTGATTTGAAGAAAAATGCCAAAAATAGTGTAAGTCTTTCAAGAGACCAGCTATACATAACTTATCAACTAAAGAAAACCGAGAAAAATATCAACATCTCTAATGTTAAGAAAGTTCTCAATTCAGAGACGAATCCCGGAAAGTTTAAAGGAGTCGACAAGCGACATCTGGAAAGATGCTTCGGAGTTGCGATTAATGCTTTAAACGCAGATAAAAGTGAAGAAGTCTTCTTCATTGCTCCGAATTCTGACGAGGCCATCTTATGGTTGACTGGAATTAAAGCTTTGATTCACAATCGCGCAACAAGAATTCTCGAGAAAGAGCGAAGAGAGAAGTGGATGACGAACGAATTTGAGAAGTTGAGCAAGAACGGGGTCCATACCATCAAATATGTGAACGTGCTAAATTTCTTGACTTCTCAAGGTTTTCATGCTGAGCCGCGTCTTGTAAAATCATTTTTGAAAAACACTCTTGGTAAAGAGGACGACATCACTTGTGACGAGTTCATCACTTTTCTGGGAGAGTATCTTAAACGAGGGGAGCTTGCCAATCTGTTCACACAATGCTCATCAAATGGTGCCTTTCTATCTATTGATGACTTACAGTACTTCTTAATCAACCGGCAATGCCAAGAAAACGTAACACACGAAGAGTGTCGACGTTTTATTAACGCCTACGAATTAACGCCAGAGGGCCGTAAGCATAACGAGCTGGGATTTGATGGCTTCATAAAGTTCATGTCATCAGTTGAAGGCGAACTGTTCAATCCTGAGCATGATAAGGTCTACCAAAACATGGACCAACCTTTTGCTCACTACTACATCGCTTCGTCGCATAATACTTACCTAGTAAGCGACCAATGCTTGGGCGATTCCAGTGTAGATGCATATGTTAAGGTGTTAAAGGAAGGTTGCAGGTGCGTTGAATTGGATTGCTGGGATGGGGACGATGGAGAACCCGTCATATACCATGGACACACACTCACTTCCAAGATACTCTTCAAGGATGTTATAAAGAAAATCAAGAAACATGCCTTTGAAGTGTCGCCGTATCCTGTCATCTTGAATATTGAAAATCACTGCAGTGTTCAGTACCAACAGAAGATGGCATCGTACTTGGTCGGCATTCTTGGTGAATATCTACAGAAGGAACCGGTCGATGAGATGCTCCCTGGTACACCAGATAGATTCAAGTATAGAATATTTGTACGCGGGAAGAAGTTGAAACCACAGCAGGAATACAGTTCTGCGGAGTTTTCCATGGCAGATGATGAAAGCACCAGCAGCTGCGACGACAGCGACGATGATAATGATAGCAGCCAGGATCAAACTGTTAAAGAAAAGAAGAAGAAGCACAAGACACCAAGACCTATCGCAAAAGAATTCTCTTCGCTCATCAATTATTTCGTCAATGTTCATTTCAATAGTTTTGAATATTCGCAAGACCATGGAAAGTTTTACCAATCGTCYTCATTCTCTGAGAAGAAACTGGAAAAGCTGGCTACTCAGAGCACGGACGATTTTATCAAGTATAACACTAAACAGCTGTCAAGAGTCTACCCTGGAGGATTTCGATGGGACTCTAGTAATTATGCCCCTGAAGATGCTTGGAACGTTGGATGTCAAATCGTAGCCCTGAACCTCCAGACACGCGAAATGCCAGTCCAACTACATCATGGTAAATTCCGACAAAATGGCAAGGCAGGTTATATACTGAAGCCTCGTTTCCTCAGAGACCCCAACGCGGATTTTAACCCGAATGACGTACAAAATCAAGACATGGCGCGAATTTTAAAACTCACCGTCATCAGTGGCCATCGTCTTTCCATTCCAGAAGGAGAAAAAACAGCCAAAGGCAAGATCGACTGCGACCCTTATGTTCGAATTGAAATTGTCGGCGTACCTGACGATAAATTCTTTTTTAAGACTAAAACAATCCGTAATAACAACTACAATCCTAAATGGAGTGAAGGGTTTACCAGGAAAATACTTGTCCCACAGCTTGCACTAATAAGGTTTTCTGTCTATGATGAAGATAATTTTAGCGATGATTTCATTGGTCAAGCAAGTATGCCCGTCACGAGTATCCGCCAGGGGTACCGTCACGTGATCATGCTCAATAAGAAGGGGGAGTCTCACACATCTGGTTGCCTGTTTGTTCACGTGATTATTCAAAATGATGACACAAAGATGGCGCACGTTTCAGAGATGAACCTGAAGGCGTCGCCTGACAAGACTGAGAAATCAAAATCTTCTTTTTCGTGCTTTAGCTAAAGTACACTGATTCATTCAAATGAATCAAAATCAACAGGTGGAATTTTGATTATAAAACAATAAGTTTGTATTTGTTTATATCAAATTTTTCCTTTGTATGTTTTATGTTTATGTTTTTTTAATGAGACCAGAAGTAACCATAACTGGTATATACTTCTGTTGACCTTTTATAAAACTTATTGCACTTTTTTTCTGTATAAGAAAACATTGATAATTATTTTATATGTCAGATAATAAGATATGATTGCGATCAATAATTTCTATGCATCATAGAGTTGATTTGAGATGAGAACGTCACATACACGAGTTACGAAACACTTATTTTTAATAAAGTTTTTATCAAAGAGTAAAGCGACAGTCGCTCTTGATTTATCGAGCTGTAAACGAAGAAATGGCAAAACGAGAGATCAGCTATGAAAAGTTTCGGTGAAGGCAATGCTTCTCGAACCTCTCGAATGTTCTGCATTCTTAATTCCACGTTAGATTCTGCATTCTTAATTTCACGTTAGATCTGCGGATGTTATGTTTCATAATATACAATAAATAAGACCGTGTGATCTAGAGCCAATAGAAACTGAAAGACGAAGAGATCGAGAGAAGGTTAAAATGCTTTTTTAGGGTCAACAGCTCTTTCAAATTACAATTGCTTACTTTATTGTACATGCTTGTTTTATTATACAAAAGTTACTTAATGTAATGTAATAAAAAATGTAAATTATAAATATGATAATTGATTATCATTTAATAATAAATTAATACTTGGTATTTTTGCTTTGTTTTGTTGTCCCGGCAAAATAAGCGCTCAATTATTTTGTAAAACATTTAATATTTAGACGAAAATTGTGGGGACTTAGTTTCCAGAATGCGAAGCACAGTTGAGGCACAACCCCATGAAGCATTCACGCCAAAGTGTCCATGTCCATAATTGTGAATTAAGAAAGGGTAATGTGAGTCGCGTTCCAAGCGTGGGCCTCCTCGACGCATGGGTCGTATGCCAACTGTTACACGAAGGTCGTCTTGATTTATGTTTTTAAGCGGTGGATAGATGGTTTGACATTCTTGAAGCATTCTCTGTACTGCAGGGTGTGAAAGACCGATGTTCTTGTCGTATGATTCTAATTGCATCGTACCAAGCCATAGACTGTGATCACCTAAATAGATTATTATTGGTAAATGCCATCTYTAGGGCAGGAGTGGATGCAGGGGAACGTTTATAGGGGTRAAAAGAGTGTGYAGMCGTWTGAACGATGTCRATCTCGTGCCCAGTACYTTTTAGGCAACAACATGGCTCGATCCTTACCTCTAGGTGCAATGAACACTGATCCTTGAGTTTTTCCTTCGTACCAGTTCTTTTCAGTCATCGTCAAAGCGTAAAAAGGAAGAACAGTCGGGCTGTCTTCTCGACGAAGAGTTAAAGCTACACCTGCATAACAGAAGGGTTATTCATTTTTCAACGAAGAATTTTAATTTCGTTTATGAAATGATCAAGAAAATGATTTTATTCATACCTAACATAGGATACACGCTGTGGTCTTGGACTAGTTGTCCTGCTGATACCCCTGTACAGTTGACAATACAGTCCGCCTGATAT